AGAATGAATCTCAGGTGGTATTGTTTACAGAGAGGAAAAACATAAGATGAATAGGGTGGGAAAGAGCCTGGGGAGAAAGATAATGAACTTTGTTTGGGACATAATGAGGTTGCACTCTTTCTGTGACATCCAAATAGGGAGATCGAGTAGATAGTGAGGAAATCAATGAATGGTGTTAGATGTTTATGTGCTTAACATTCAGGCTGTTTCAGCTTTCTGTCCTGGGTCTAGTTTGTTTTCTATCCATGGCTTGTTAACCCAGAATCTTGAGTTTAAGAGTTATACATTACCCAGCTCTTAAGTCTCAAACTATATGTCTAATCTTTGGCCAGCATTTTGCAAAGGTGGGCCACTGACCCCAAGAGACACTCAGGACCCAGGAGCCACAGACAGAAATGGGTCTTACATCAGTTGTTAAAATGCTGCTGTTCAGTACACGCACAGTTGTGATGGCTTCAAGATCTTATGTTGTATTTTCCATCCCTCCAGAGTGGATTGCATTTTTTTCAATCCTATTCTTCATTATAAAAGTCCTCCATCTTCTTGATTATATTAGTTTTTCTTTTCTGGACCTGATTCTGGCTTCATTGTTCATGAAATGTCAGGGTCATCTCTGCGTAGGAGAAATTTCTATCTATAAATCACTCCAATGCAGGCTATTCAGTGTTGTTAAGGTAAGAAGCAGTGATTGAGTGAGGCAAACAGGCATATTTCTAAAGATTGAGACTTTCAAATCAAGTAATTTGGTTCAGCACATCAGAAATCATGATTCTGGGTAAATGAGCATTTTGATAAGTTCAGAAAAAAAATTCTCTTTTACGGACTCACTGCTTTAAGCTTTGAAATTTCACATGTATCAGCTGCATGGGCTCAGCTGGTGAGGACTCACATATTTCTATAAGGTTGATCTAATGATCCCCTCACTTTAGGCCAAGGTTTCTCACTGGAGCAGTATAACAGAGTGGCTAAAGCAGTCTGATACAGTGCAAATCAGTCAGCCAGAGCCAAATGAATCCCAGCTCCATCTCTGATTAGCTGGAAAGCCATGGTTGATTTGTGTAACTTGTCAGAAAGGGTAGGTAATAAAACAGTTTGTAGGTTTGTGGTGGTGATTGTTGTAAGAATTAATAGATAAGCTACTTGAACAGGGTCTAGAAGAAGCTCAAATAATTACTTCTTGCCACTGGGCAGCATCAGCACTGTCCAATATGGTAGCCACCACATGTAGCTCTTGAAATGTGGTTATTTTAAATGAGATGTGTGGCCAATTATATGTGCTATCAGTGCCGACCGGATTCTTTCACCAAGGCTGGAGGAGTGCAGTGGCATGATCACAGCTCAGTGCAGCCACGATCTCCTGCAGGGGGTCCTTGCACCTCAGACTCCCAAGTAGCTGGGACTACAGGCGTGGGCCACCATGCCCGCTAATTTTTGTATTTTTTTTTTTTTTTTTTTTGTAGAGATAGGTTTTTGCCATGTTGCCTGGGCTGGTCTCAAACTCCTGAGCTCAAGCGATCCTCCCACCTTGGCCTCCCAAAGTGGTAGGATTACAGGTGTAAGCCACTGCACCAGCCAATGCCAACCAGATTCTAAAGATTTAATATAAAAAAAGGATGTCAGAAGAGTGTAAAATATTTCATCAATAACTTTTTATGTTGATTACATGTTGAAACATGGACATTTTAGGTAATGTTGGGTTAAATAAAATCTATTTTATTTCTAGCAGTTATCACCTACTGATTATTTAAATTAATTTAGCTTTTTTTTTTCTTTTACCTTTTTAAATGTGACTACTAGAAAATTTAACATTGCATGTGTGACTTCTATCTTTATTGGATACCTCTCCTTTAGATATAGAACTTACCACGAAGGGCTTTCAGTATCTGAAGTTGTAGGCAAAGTATTCACCTAGGTAGCAACCTCCCCAGCTGGTCTGCTTGCTCTGTCTTTCTCCTCACTATACCCTGGGGACATTTCAGAGTGCCTGATCTGCATCCGACCTGCTTCTTCCATTCTTGGCCCTGGCTCTTCCTGAATATACTCTATGCTCAATCATGATGAAAGAAAAACTCATCACATCCTCACTCATGTGTTCAGTTATTCACTCGACAGTTTTTGATAATTAACTGTGAGCCAGGCAGTGTTCTAGGCATTGGAGAAATAGCGGTGAACAAGACCGACAAAGCCCTTGCTCTGTATATGGTGTCTTCTACCTGGAATACATTTTCTTTCATTCTCTCTCTCTCTCTCTCTCTCTCTCTCTCTCTCTCTCTCTCCCCCCCCCACCCCCTCAATAACTGGAATCACCTCTCGAGGAAGTCTTTCCTGACAACACTACTCCCCACACCTTTTTTTTTTTTTTTTTTTTTGAGACAGAGTCTCACTCTGTCACCCAGGCTGGAGTGCAGTGGCAGGATCTTGGCTCACTGCAACCTCCACTTCCTAGGTTCAAGTGATTCTCCTGTCTCAGCCTCCCTACTAGCTAGGATTACAGGTGCATGTCACCACACCTGGCTAATTTTTATATTTTTAATAGAGACAGGGTTCACCATGTTGACCAGGCTAGTCTTGAACTCCTGACCTCAGTTGATCTGCCTGCCTCAGCCTCCCAAAGTGCTGGGATTACGGGCGTGAGCCACCATGTTCAGCCCCCACACCTTAGTTTAAGCTCCCATAGCCTCCTATTGTCATTTTTATCATAAGACTTATCACATTTACTGTTATATCAATTTTCAAAAGTCAAATTTTTTATTTTGAGAAAATTGTAGATTCATATGCAGTTATAAGAATACAGAGAGACCACTTGTACCCCTTTCCCAGTCTCCCTCAATGATAACATCTTTCAAAACTATTATACGATATCACATGAGGGTACGGCACTGACGCAATGACTGATCTGGTTCAGAGTTCCCATTTTACTTGTATTTGTGTACACGCGTGTGTTTAGTTCTGTGCAATTTTATCTTTCTTTTGTGTATCCACCACTACAGTCAAGAGACAGAACATTTCCCACTGAGTGCAGTGGCTCATGCCTGTAATCCCAGCACTTTGGAAGGCCGAGGTGGGTGGATCACCTGAGGTCAGGAGTTTAAGACCAGGTTGGCCAACATGGTGAAACCCCGTCTCTACTTAAAATACAAAAAATTAGCCAGGTGTGGTGGCGTGCACCTGTAATCCTAGCTATTTGGGAGGCTGAGGCAGGAGAATCGCTTGAACCCGGGAGGCAGAGGTTGCAGTGAGCCAAGATCCTGCCACTGCACTCCAGCCTGGGTGACAGAGTGAGACTCAAAAACAAACAAACAAAAAAAACAAAAAAAACCCAAAACATTTCCATGAGCACAAAAATTCTTCATGTCGTCTTTTTATAACCATAACACTTCCTCCCCACCCCTGACCCTTATTAATCCCTGGCAACCACTGGTCTAGTTTCCATTTCTATAACTTTGTTATTTCAGGAATGTTATACCAATGGAGTCAGACACTACATAGCCTTTTTCCACCCAGCATAATGCTCTGGAGATTCATCTAAACTGTGTGTTTATTCCCTTTTATTGGTGAGTAGTATTCCATGTTACAGATGTACCACAGTTTGTTTAACCATGCACCTGTTGAAGGGCCCTTGAGTTGTTTCCAGTTTGGGGCTATTATGAATAAAGCTGCTTTGAACATGTATAGGTTTTTATGTGAATATAAATTTCCATTTCTTTGGGGTAAATGACCAAGGATGCAGTTTTTAGGTCCATAAATGTTGGTTTATTTATCATCCTCATTAGACTATTGACACTTTGAGGACAGCTTGTTAGCTTCGTTCACATGTGCATCAAATGTTCTTTGTATGTATCTGACATATGGTAACACTCGATGATATGCTCAATAAAATACAGAATCCCAGAAAGAAGGAGGGACGGAGGGAGTAGGAAAAGGAAAGGAAGGAGGACAGAAATCTTTGAGTATTGTCAGTTGTCAGCTCACCCCCCCTGCCCACCACCTCCCAACATCATTATATTTTAATTTTTTAAATAAACCCAGCGACTCCAGTGTGAGACAGTAGTTGCTTAATACCTGTTCGTTAAATGATACAACACTCTGGCGAGTAGAACAGCTCTCCTCCCCCCTTCTCCATCCTCCCATCACTGGAGTGTAGGGATAGACACACACAGACACACGTGTGCATACTCAGTGGCCAGGAGCCTAGGAATCTTTTCTGGAACAAAGTCAAGCGCTAACAAATGAAGTGCTGTTGCTTTGAAGCTTAGCTAACAACAACCTTGGCCATGTCTGTGTGACTGCCCCAGGAATTACAAATGAAGAGTCTGGGGACCCAGCAGCTTTGTGGACTCATTCCAATGAGAATACAGGATGCAGCTGAAATAAAGAATGCCTCTTTGTGACTCATTAAACTCTACTCTGTTCCTTTCTATTAGGCATGTGTCTGCCATGCCCTGCAAAGCTATGATATTCAAAAGTGGAAGAGTCAGGCAGAAATAAAAACATTTCACTTCAGCGCCCAAACCATGTGCCCCTTAATTTGAAATAAATCTGTGACAACTGACAGATAATTCTTTCAGACAGTTATGGAGAAAGGCTTGACTTGTCCTAGTAAATCAGACACAGGAGTCATTATTTTTAGTCTCGTTAAAAAAATGTTACCATAGCAACTGCACCATCATCTCGGGCAAATGTTATCTCTTTAAGTCAATAACACGAGGAGCTGACCACAAATACCCAGTGCTTTGAAAGGAAGAAATGACTTTTCAACAAAATTAATTTCTTCCAAGTCTTCACTGTTCATCTTCATGTGGAATTGAAGTGCCCAGAATTCCTCTCCTCTCCCCCGTGGAAAATAAGCAGTATTAAAAGCAACATACCACTTTATAAGACTCAAGTATTAAATAAGCAGTATTAAAAGCAACATACCACTTTATAAGACTCAAGGCTGACCTTTCTTCTATCATTAATTCTCTTAGTTCCTTGAAACTCATAGCTTCATATGTGGCTTTTTTTTTCCACCCATGGGAAGCATAATGCTAATTAATTTGACCCTTGGGCAGAGCATTGTGTATTTTGAGAACACAGTGTGGAAAAGCATATTAGAGCATGCACATCTTTTCTAAACTCTTAAGAGATGGTTTTAAGTGATGCAGCAAACAGCTTAGTTCCTGTGGACTCTCATTTCATACCTGTGCAAGACCGTGGATGCTCAGGGAGCATTGTTTGGCTTAGTTTGACTCCATATTTGGTCAGAACTGAAATTGAGTGTTTGTGAAGATTTATTAATATATTGAAATTTGCAACTGTGATAAAGCTTTTACCCTCAAAATATGAGATTTGGACTTTAAAAATTAAGCCTAATACTTTAGATTTTTTCTTCTACTGAAAACATGTTGTTAATTTTAGTGTCAGATTAAAGCACCCCAAGTTGGCTGGGAAAGCAAGGTTGGTGCTTACCTATGTCCTGGTTTCAGAATGCTAGTGAGGTCTCATAGTCCCCAAAGACTTTGCTTCTTCTCTTCTCAGACTCACATTTTTTTTTTTCACCTCTAATACCTTGGAAATCAGGATATGCTTAACAACTGCTGGTGTGATATAATTTTTTATTGGCAGCTTTTTATTTCTTAGTGGTACACATAATAATGATGCATTTCCAGGGAGGGAAAGAGAAACAACAATTATTGCCTGCTTATCATGTATCAAGCCCTGTGAGAAGGTGGCATCCATACACCATTCTCCTTTCCTACACCCAGGATGAAGTGGATGGGCCACTGCCCTTTGCCTTTAGAATGACTTCAGCTGCCTTCTTTAAGAAGTAATATAAATTACTGTGAGAAGTAATTTATAGACATTATTTTGTAGAATCCTCACATGACCCCTATGATGGAGGTATTTTTAATTTTGTAGGAAACTGAGACTCAGGTGGGCTACCAGACCTGTCCAAGATCATAAGTTGGCCAGTGTCAGAATCAAGATTTCAGTACAATGTGGCCAACTTTATGGTTGTGTAACCTTCTGCACTCTCTTTCTGACTTGTCCTCAGCTTCTTGTGCTCATAAAATAGTCTATAAATATTTAAATTCTGGAACTGGGAAGGGCCTTGGGAGTCACAGGGTCCAACCCCACTGTGTTACAGATGAAGAAACTGAGGCTCAGAGAAGTGACTTGCTCAAGGTAGTCCCAAAGGAGATTGTGCCACTGAGAATCCGCATGGCTGCGGGAGGGAAGGGAGTGTTTCAGGCTCTGTTAGTGTCTCCATCTCCTGCACACAGTGTGCACCCCAGGATTTCCCCACTTGGGACCGCCTTCCCTGGACCAGGCCTCAGTTTCTCAGTCACCCCTCTGAGGCACTAACACTTGGCTCATTCCTCTGGAGTCACGATCCCCCTGGAATTCAAGATGATTACTCACGTACACCACTTCTCCTTTCTTTCTACCCCTAGTGAACCTATACCTTGTGCCTCACCCTCCAAGGTGACAATAAATCCATGTAAATATGATCATGGAACAAAAGGAGAGAAGATTCTCCAGAGTCTATCCTTGGAGACATTACTCATATGTTTCTTTGCTACCTCAAGAGAGGGGCTTTAATGGTGGGAACTTCAACGTAGATTGAAGGGAAGGTGGCAGGCACATGCACACTATGGTGCAGAGATATTCCGTGGGTAGCAGGGCGTTTATTAGCCTTTGAAGTCACACCACAAACTCTCACTCTGCCCATAGAGAGGTGCGACACAGCCTACATTGCAAAAGGTGGCATCCATACACCATTCTCCTTTCCTACACCCAGGATGAAGTGGATGGGCCACTGCCCTTTGCCTTTAGAATGACTTCAGCTGCCTTCTTTAACACAACATTCCAGGTAGCCGCTTCCCATTAACTGTAGTTGGTTCCAGGGATGAAATAGACCCATTTGCCATTCCCAGTGTTGTTGAAGGCTTTGGAAGCAGGCAGGTTACAAAACGATTGAGTTTCTATTTCTTCCAATGTAAAAACAAGAAAATAATAATTGACTTAAAGAATTGTTGTAAGGTCTAGAGATAACATATGTAAGAGCACAGCAGACTCCATGGTACCTGGCACATAGTAGATGCTTAGTGACTCTAAATTGTCGTTCTTATAAAGTTAATGCTGACAGGGTGGAATGCATGATGCCACACCTCTGCATTATAAATAAGTTGGGGACTGTGAAAGAAAGATGCTCTTGGCCTTTGTAGTCTGTCTTTATTTTGTGACTCTGCAGACACAAGTGTGTATGTTTCAGGTCTAAAAGGGTTGAGCAGCCGTCTTCAGAAACAGCCCAGGATGGCAGCTCACTGCCAGTTGGCTAGCTCTTGGCCAGCAAGTTAGGAAGATCAGGCCAGCTGAGCAGTCCGTCCCCAGAGTACTCCAGTTCTGGTTATGCTACTCACAGGCTGAAGGGCTGAAGAAAGTCCTTTATTCCAAGCCAGTTCAATTTTCTATAAAACACGTGTAATAATTCTGGTCTAGAGAGAGGGGTGGCAAATTGATGGACTCACCGGGCATTGTTATCTGTTTTGAAAATGAAATCTACGATGAGCAGCACATGTATTTAAAGAACACTTTCCTTTGCAGAAAATGGAAATGGTTTAACTTCTTCACTTTGTTTCACTAGTTAGTTAGTGTGCATCTTCAATGTCTCTGCCTATGTCATTATTTACTATGATATTGAAACTCCTAAGGACAAAGATGATGTCTGCTTCATTTACTTTTTAGAGCATCCAGAAAAATGCCATGAACAAGTACATTTTTAATCCACTCATACGCTGTTATTGTAGATTGAAATATAAACTATATCCCATTCTCCAAAAAGTATTTTGTTCTTATTTTAATCATTTAAGACCAAAAATCTGATGAAACATCTCTATCAGAGCAGCACTGAATGTCCTTACAGTCAGAACAAATGCATGCCTGTTGGTTTATTTTAATTTTAAAATGTTCATATTGACTGACTCTCTATTACAAAAGTCTGCCCAATGTAGAACATGTGAAAAATGCTGAAAACCATGTAAAAGAACTGAAAAGTTTTCTTTAATTCCCATGCTGGAAGATAATCACTTGGAACATCCTGGTATTTTTTCCTAAATGATTCATTTTAAGGTGATATTGATATCATCTAATTCTTAGCTAGTTTTAAGACTTTCAACATGTTTCTTCTCACTGTGATTTCCATCTTTTCAGGTAGTGATCCTGCATTCTTTCCAGCAAGAATTATTGTTTTGTTATTTTTCAGTGTATTGAAACATGTTGTCAGTTAAAGGAAAGGGTTTGCCATGAGCTGCTAGTCACTTACCCATTTCAAAGGAAACTTGTGGTTACCATGAAGGAAAATTTAATCCATCTGCCACAATGCATTTGTTCTCTTGAGAACCAGGTGGAACTACCGCTGACTATTTCCTTAGGATTATGCCACCCACCAAGGTAACTTTCTGTTTCAGCAGGTGATGTGGAGAAACAAAACAACACCCTTTAAGTTAATCAGTTTTGGAAAATAGAGACTGGCTTTCTATTCCATGGCTTTGATGTGTTTAGTAGTTCCTGTAAGGATCTGCCTCTCTTTTGTTTTGATTGACAAGACCTTTTCTATATATTTGAGCAATCAAGCAGCCCAGTAACAGAAGGTAGAGACATTTACCCAGAGCAAACTTCTACCATTCATTGTGACTCCCTGAAATCTTAGTGCAAGTTTCAGCTCTAAAAGAAGCGTTGGCTCCTGCAAGATTAGGTAAGTGCTTCTCCATATTTGTAACCTCATTCCAGAGGAGGGGAAGCCCAGAGAACTTGCTATAGCAAGGTCAGAAGTAGGAACTGTGAAAATAATGAATTCAGTGGGGGGTAAGGGTCCATGAATGCCATATCCTTTATACTTCAGAATCCAGGTGAGTTCTGTCTAGTGGGCCAGGCATGAAGGGGGTTGATTCTGGCTCCTGAAAGAGCACGGGGAATGACCAAGACCCAGAGAGGATGGACTTGACAGTGGATTGAGGTTATGTTTTAAATAACTCCTATGCTTTCCATCATTTGGATTTAAATTGAATGTTAAGTAGGTGCTGTTGCAGTGGAAGTCTAGAGCAGAACCAATTTACAGTGAGTAGGACACATTTATGAATGGCCACCAACTCAGATGATAGGTTTCATGATATTTTCTGCATATCCATGTTTAGTGGTGAGTTGGTTTAGTAGCGATGCATATAGGGAATACTGTTATTAATATTTACCTCCCAAATCATTCCCCATCATGACACTGAAAATATAGTTTTGAGCAAAGTATGTAACATGGCACCCAAATACCCTGGACCTGAATAAAAATAATTTATATGTATTCATGTATTCTGTTGGATTATGGATTAGTTTTGGTGTTACTCATATTTTATGTTTATTTTGGAAAGACCACTGGGACAAACTTCTTCAGCACACAAGTCAACTGCAGCAGTTAAGTTACAATAAGGAAAAGCCTGAGAATGCACTTGGAGGGTGGGCATCTAGAGAGGGCCATGGAATCCACACTGGCACCAGTTACAGGAATCGCTGGATGCCTGTGTTGGAGTTTGTGGGCATTTACAATTTCTGGGCTCATTTTCCCTGAAATGCTAGAAGCAAGGTCCCTTTGATAGCGACCAATGCATGGTTGACTGTGCCATTGAGGGCAGCCAGATCTGTTAAACTCTATCCTTTCCCTCTCCGGAAGAGCAGCATGAAGCTGGCATTCCTCTTCCTTGGCCCCATGGCCCTCCTCCTTCTGGTTGGCTGTGGCTGTGTCCTTGGCACCTCCAGTGGGAACCTGCGCACCTTTGTGGGCTGTGCCGTGAGGGAGTTTACTTTCCTGGCCAAGAAGCCAGGCTGCAGGGGCCTTCGGATCACCACGGATGCCTGCTGGGGTCGCTGTGAGACCTGGGAGGTGAGTTGCTAAGATGTGCAGATGACAGTATCTTCTGGGCCAGCAGCTTGGGTCTGATTCTCAAGAGTTCACTTTTTAAATGATATGAGGTGGAGCTGGGACATCTGCCCTTTCCTGTGGATTTAAAAAACCAAAACAAAACTGTGATTGGCATCTTCCAAAAGTGATTTGAAAAGCATGATGTTGCCCCTCTAACAAAGCATTGAGAAGATTAAGAATTTGGTTTACATTGTGTCTGTGTATCTAGGAATCATCTCTGGGAGGTCACGATGTACTGTTCTACCCATTTTACAGATGACATGGAGGGATTCAAGGGAGAGTGGCTGCAAAGTCACAGAGAGTGTCAGTGTAAAGCTGGAAATCAATTTGTGGTTCAAGCTTGTGACCCAAACTCCTCCCTGTGTTCCTTCATTTTGGGTAAATTGGCCAGTTTCCAAGAAAGAGGACCTGAGCTGAAGGGTGAGAGTTAGTCCCAGACCCCTTCACTGCCTCTTCTGCAGCCCTGTTCCTCTTGAAGTCCCTGGGAGCCCTCTGGGGTTATCACTGATGGATCTATTACGTTCCTTCATATTCAATGATACCTGGCCTTTTTAGAGACATTTAATTTAAAGTGGGGATAACACTCTCAAACAAAGTTAAAAATCCTGTTGGACTAAGAGGAGCTGTCTGAGTGGTGAAGAGGAAGAGAGCTATTCAGCACCCCAGCAGATCACACTACGTAGTAACTGTGGGCTCTTCCCCCTGAGGCCCGCGCACTTGGTAACTGATGAGTTGCTAGCTCTGATCTTGTCATGCCCTGACCCCAAAACCTTGAATGTCCACACACTACTACAGATTCAATTACCAGCTTTCAAAGTCCTCAGCAATATGGCGTCTGCCTGCTTTCCTGAAGACAACACATTTTCTTACTCTGGCCTTGGTAAGTGACTTTCAAAGGTTTTATCAAATAGCCCTCATGGATCTCATTTTGGTCCTTTCCTGATATCCCTTCTCCTTCTCATCTGTCATTATCATATTTATTCCTGATGCCCATCTGCAGTGCCAGCTCCCTTTCTGGGGCTTTTTTGACTTGCAGGTAAGCCCTTGACTATGCTGTACTTTTTGTCTTACTTCTTCCCCCACCACACACGTTAAATTTTTTGAGGACAGGGGTTCATTCTTATAACTTTCACAGCTTTTGTCAAGGTGTTGTGTATGAACAAGGTATTCAATACACATTTGTCGGTTGACTGGGATGGACCTGTCCCTGGAGCTGTAGATCCTCCAGCCTAATGGAAGGCCACTTAGAAGCGAACCTGCACTGTGAGTGGACACTGCCATTGGGAACAATAGCCTTCCCTTCAGGGACCCAGAGGGTGGCCTGCTCTTGCTTAGGTACAATTATGGCCCTATGAATGGAATTGGGTCATAGTGATGAAATCTCCAAATTGGATGAAACGACTCCATCAAAGTAGTTTTCTTTTTGCCTCATTCAGGGGCTTAGCCAAATGAAAATCGGGTTTTGCTAAGTAGACTTTGCCTGTCAATTGGCAGCAAATTCACTTGGGGCACTTGGTGCCTCCTCCTGTTCAGGGACTGGCCTGGCAGGGCCTCTCCCTGTTTGCATTTAGTGTCTGGGCTATTTGAAGCCCTCTCTGTGCCAAATCCTTGAACTCCTGCTTCCCCTCAATTCAGCCCATCTTCTCTTCTTTTTAAAAACTGATGAATGGCTTTAATCGGATCGTGGTCACCCATAGGAGGTCAGGAACTGTGCTCTCACTGGAAAAATGGAAGCACCAAAACCATTAAAGAACAAGATTGTCTCTGATCTTAGCCAACTTTCATTCATGTCTTGACGGTGTTATGAAAAGGGAGATAACCTATAGAAAATAAATAAAAGAATGAGGTTCATTTTCCCAGCAATCTGAAAGTTTCTGAGATATAAAGCCCTTGATTTTTTTGGGGGAGGGAACTTAACTGAAAGCATGTATGAAAATAAGGATGCTCATGACGATAGACTGGCTGGATTTACATTTGAAGGTGGAGCTGTTGTTGAAAATAGCTATTCCTCATAATCTGCATATAGCGTTGCCAGATTTAGCAAACAGACAGACAAACAAAATAAAACAAAACAACCAATCCCCTCCCCAGAAAAACCCAAACTGAAATGAAACCAGAAAACCAGGAAGCCCAGGTAAATTTGAATTTCAGATAAGCAACAAATAAATTTTTAGCATAAGTCTGTCTGTCTCATATAGTATTTGGGACAGACTTATACTAAAATATTATGTATCTGAAATTTAATTTTTTTTTTTTTGAGACAGAGTATCACTCTGTCACCTAGGCTGGAGTGTAGTGGCACAATCTCGGCTCACTGCAAGCTCCGCCTCCCGGGTTCTGGCCATTCTCCTGCCTCAGCCTCCCGAGTAGCTGGGACTACAGGTGCCCGTCACCACGCCTGGCTAATTTTTTTTTTTTTTTTTAGTAGAGACGGGGTTTCACCGTGTTAGGATTGAAATTTAAATTTTTTGAGGTGTTTGGTCTGCCTAGGTTCCCAGAGTACCAATGGTAAGAAGACATAAAGCAAATATGGATGGTAGGAGAAAACAGTTGAGGACAAATTCAGCTTCTCTGGTCCTTGTCAAAGGCAAGGCTGGCTGGGCGCGGTGGTTCATGCCTGTAATCCCAGCACTTTGGGAGGCAAAGGTGGGCGGATGGCAAGGTCAGGAGATAGAGACCAGCCTGGCCAATATGGTGAAACCCCATCTCTACTAAAAATACAAAAATTAGCCGGACATGGTGGCACGTGCCTGTAGTCCCAGCAACTCGGGAGGCTGAGGCAGAAGAATTGCTTGAACCCGGGAGGTGGAGGTTACAGTGAGCTGAGATCACGCCACTGTACTACTACTCCAGCCTGGGTAACAGAGCGAGACTCCATCTCAAAAAAAAAAAAAAAAAAAAAAGGCAAGTTTGCTATTTTCATGACATTCATGCAAGAACTTCATCTTGAGTTACATATTCTTTTTCGCCTAGAACAAAGAAGAACAAAAAAGCAAAGGTGCTGTCGTTTGAAAGCTTGTTATTATTTTCATTATTACTTCCTTATAATAATTGCACTAATAAGAACAATGGATTACATTTATTGATGTGCTAGACATTGTGAATTGCGTATATCATCTTACTTTATCTCTCAAACAATGGTGGGAGGTAGACATTTTGCTTTACAGAGGAGGAAACTGAGTCTTCAGAAAGTTCAGTGAATTTTCCGAGGTCTCCAGCAAGTGGCAGAACAGGGACTCGAGCTCCATAGTTCTGACTGCAGGGCTCGAGATGTTAACTCCGGCGAGGTGCTGATATTTTTTCTGATCTATGTGTTCTGTTTATCAAAATTATCTTTGAAATTAAGATTCATAAAAGCTGAAGAAAGGAAATGAATCTTTTGATGATCAGAACAGTGCACAGAGTACTCGGGAACCTGTCTTGTAATGTTTTCTTTCATTGATGCAATGACAAATAGTTACTGAAACCCTCCCGGGGTCTGTTTTAGGTACGGGAGGCACAGCGGGCAAAAATCTCCGTCCTAAAAGAGCTTACTTTCTAGAGTGGGAGGAATAGCACGCAAATGAAAGAAAGGTAGACTATGTCAGGTGGTATTGATCAGTGCTATGGTGAAAAATAAAGCAGGATGGGGGATGGGAAGTTTCTGGGCATGGAGATGGAATGTTGCAATTTTAAATAGGATGGTTGGGAAATGCTTCCCTGAGAGGGTGACATTCTAACAAAAACCAAAGGTTGGTAAAGGAGTGAATCATACGGGAGAAGAATGTTCCAGGCAGGAGGAACAGTAAGTGCAAAGGCCGTGAGCTGGGACTGTTCCTGCTGGGTGGCAGGAACAATAAGGAGACCGCTGTGAGCCTAGTGAGGAAGTCAGTGGGGTGGGAATGGTTGCAGGCATTTCAGAAGGTGGAGGTGTAGAGGAGGTGATGTAGGTCTTGAAGGTGATCATAAGGTCTTTGATTTTTGCTCTGAGTGAGATGGGAAATACTGGGGCTTTGGGCAGAGGAGTAATATGATCTGACTTATGTTTAAACAGGATCAGTCAGGGCTGCTGTGTTGCAAATAGATTGTAAGGAGTAAAAATGGAAGAGGGGAGACCAGTTAGAAGGTGTTTGCAATGACCAAGATGATTCATTTGCTGACTACGCATGGAGCACTTGCTGTGTGCCATGGTCTCTCCTGGGAGCTTAGGATATAGTCTTGAATGAAATCAGCTTCTTGCTTTCAGGAGTTTGTTTTCTACTGGGAGACAATAGAGCAACAAGTAAATCAATGAATAACAAGTTAATTTCTGATAGTGATAAATGATACTAAAAAACTGAAACAAGATCATATGTTCTAATGAATTCCCTGTTTTCTATCTGTGGGGACAGAAACCCATTCTGGAACCCCCCTATATTGAAGCCCATCATCGAGTCTGTACCTACAACGAGACCAAACAGGTGACCGTCAAGCTGCCCAACTGTGCCCCGGGAGTCGACCCCTTCTACACCTATCCCGTGGCCGTCCGCTGTGACTGCGGAACCTGCTCCACTGCCACCACGGAGTGTGAGACCATCTGAGGCCCGCATGGTCTGCAGAGCGCAGCTAGCAGCCTCAGCCTCACAGACCCACCTGTGTGAGCAGCACATGCAGTTATACTTCCTGGATGCAAGACTGTTTAATGTCGACCATACCCATGGAGGAGGTTACCTGTTGACCCTGAGGTCCAGCTCAGACAAAAGGCCCAAATGCAGCCTACTGATGCTAAAAATTCGAAACAATATTCATGCCTTCACCAAAATAATTTCTCCAGTTCACATACCTGCAAATTAATTTTTCTTTGCCTTGAGTCTTGGAACATAATTTGTGTATCACAATCCTCCCCCAATTTGGACTTATAATATGCTAATGATTTAAACACATTGGATGTAATTAGAAAATGGGGCTGGAAAGTCTTTAAATTCTCATGTTCTATTTAACCACTGATCTCCAACCGGATTTATGATTAAAGGGCTAGAAATGAACAAAACCCATGTACTAGTCTTCCTCACCCCCAAGGAATTCCAACTGCAAGCTTCTTTAGGGAAAATGCTCCCTTCCCCTTTTAACTGAGCAATTATCTACACAAGAAATAAGACTGTTCAGATATACAAAGAGAGCAGCTTCAATGAAGAGATGTTTGGATTTGGATAATTATTTTCCCTAGCAAAATTCCCTAAACTCCCTTAAGAGCCTTAATAAAGAGGCTATGGTGGGATTGAAAGAAAAAAAATACCCAGAAATAAAATATGTAACTAATAGCTATCTCATTTAGCCTTAAAAAGTTATTAAACTCACGTTTTAGAGTATGATGTTCTCCCAAAGCTATGGCAAAATGGCCAATCACATGTATTCTTCCCGATTTATCATATTTTAAATTTAAGTTGTAACTTACTAAACTCTGAAATTTTACATGCTTTTAGGGGTAAAACTGCATCGCTGGCTCAGAGGAAAAAGTCTGTGATTTTCTAGCTCCTGCCTTCTCTGAAATCTTACAGTAGCTAATTCTGTGGCTGGAAAAAACCTCCAGAACTCTAATGTTATGCAAATGTCTTTAATTCTGGCATTTTTTGGGGTTGAATTTAACCTTGTTCCTTTTTCATAATGTGCCAGGAAAACCTATATTAATGCCAATAAAGCATGTCCTCTGTCTTTTGAATTCATGACAACTTTCAAGAAAGTCTTTTTAATTTTTAGTACACTTGGAATAACAGTGAGAAGCACACCTCAAATAAACTACAAGGTTATTTTTACTGAAGCATTAATTTGGCACATCGTGTTTAGTAAGGGACACAGACAGATGACTCTGGGTAGCATGAGTCCCAGCGGTGGCACAAATGCATAGACATAGCCCTGGGAGCCAGGAGTCCTTCTTGAATAAGAATTCAATGAGTCCCCCTAAAACACAGTAAAGCAAATGTTGAGATTGACAGTCAAGTACTGGGATGCGGGGTGAACATCTGGGAGCAAAAGGCAGGAGCAAAAGTCACCCAACCTTTAGCAGATGTGTTGGTAGGAAAGGAAGTCACTCTAACGTAAGAAGAAGGCAAGTACTTGGGGTCTCTGCTGGAACAGTGGGTGATGATTAGGGATGAATCCTGGGTGGTGCCACTCAAGTGTTTTCAACCCACCCCCAAAGACTTTCCTCAATTTTCTGAGGCACAAAGGGCTTGCCAGGATTTGAGAAAAGATGACCACAGCATGAATAAGGGTCCTGGCAGGAAACCAGTGATCTATTGCAGTGGGATACGGAAGAGATGATTTATAAATGTGTGAGCAGAATTAAGGAAACCAACAAGTGGGGATGAAACAGATTTGGTTCAGCAGCAATGGACAACCCTAGGCTGAAGGAACGAGAGGAGGGAGTGATTGTCAGACCCCAGAGAAAACTGTAGAAGTGAGATCCACAACAGGAGCTGCAGCCTTTGGTAGGAGGATGCAGCCCTTCCCAAACTGAGACCTGGTAGGGAGGGAGGTGGGGGAGCAGATACCCATCCTCACTCTCCTCCCTGGTCTTCTGTTGAATGAAATGGGAATCAAGCCTGGTATAATGGCTCATTCCTGTAATCCTAGCACTTTGGGAGGCCAAGGTGGAAGAATTACAACATGGTGAGACCCTGTCTCTTCAAAAAATAAAAATAAAAAAATTAGCTGGGTATGGTGGTGCGCACCTATACTCCCAACTACTCGGGCGGCTGAGGTGGGAGGATCCCTTGAGACTGGGAGGTCAAGGCTGCAAATGAGCTGTGATCGTGCCACTGCACGCCAGCCTGAATGACAGAGCAAGACCCCATCTCTATAAAAAAAAAAAAGAAAAAAAGAAAAAGAAAAAAGAAAAAGAAAAAAAACACGTGGGAATCAAATGGGAAAGCAGAGAGTGAGAAAACCCATTGATTCAGTCCATAAATGTTGGCCTCCTAGGCACTAAGTTGAAGAAAGGTAGAGAGTGGATTTAAGGGGCCAAATGAATAAACTCCAGCTTAGCTGTCTTTTGGGAAGCTCAGCTTGAATGCAGGAGGTAGCATGCTGTAGCATCACAATTACAGTCATGGGTCACTTAACAAGGGTACATGATGAGAAATGCATCATGAGGTAATTCTGTCATTGTGAGAACATCATAGTGTAATTACACAAACCTGGATGGTATAGCCTACTACATAGCTAAGTATAGCTTATCGCTGCTAGGCTACAAATCTGTACAGCAGATTACTATACTGAATGCTGTAGGCAACTGTAAAACAATGGTAGGTATTTGTGTATCTAAACATAGAACAAGTACAGAAAAAATATAATCTTATGGGACCACCATCATATGTGCCATCTGCCATTGACCAAAATATTGTGCAGTTCATGACTGTACTGACTGCCTTGTAGTAAATTGATCTGGAATACACATGGGAAGGCATGCACTGGCTAATACAATAACATTTGGGAGATATTGAAGACCACGGTAATTATAAGGACTGTGGGATTAGTTGGTGGTTAAGTGCAATAAAAGCCCTCAGGCATGATATGAAAGCTGATTTGAAGAGACTGTCTTCGAATGCAGCTGAAGGACAGACTGTGCTGAAAATTAGGCCTAATATCTAATTGACAAAGCAGCTGAATTAATAAAAGGGCTGAATTTACCACTCTGGCAAGTCTCCTATACTTAAGTCAAGGTCCTAATAGGGAAGAAGTGAGACATAGAGACCTGGAATGGGAACAGTTAGGTGGATGATGGACTCGAGGTTTCCCTGCAGGGGAACCTCCTGACTCCTGCTTGCTAGTGGAGAGCATACTCCCCTTGCCTGGAGACCATGCCGAGGAGGATGCTTTACATGATGATATGGCCCTCCTCAAATATTGCCTACACCCCCGTGTTATTCTAGGTGGTTAATTATGGTCAAGTCTCAGGATGATCTGGCTGGGGAGGGACTTGCTCTGTGGTGGGAGGAACAAGCATCTCCCCTGAAGGAGCTTCAGGATTTGACAATGTAAACCAGGAGGAATTGGTAAAGTGTGCTTAGCAATGGATCTCGGGGGTTTAGACAGGGATATGGCGGGTGGGGTGCCAGAATATAAGACTGGATAAGAAGATTTCATCCATATGCAGGCATTATCAGAATATAATGTAATCAAAAGGACACCTGGATCTGGTCCCAGCGTGCTGTTGGGCTGTGTCCTTCAAGAGTGGGGAAAATGGTGGCTTGCATTAATGAAAAGAAGATGCCAGAACTGTCCTGGCAGAGTACTGAGGAACAAAAGGCACTGAGAGGTGGGCCTGCCAGAATGGATTTATTACACAAGACCAGAGAACTCGCCAGTTGGTTGTGTTCATCTGGAGGGTTTAGTGGCCATTTCTTTTACAAAGCAACAAAGAATGACTAGTGAGGGGGCACATCTCAGAAAAGCTCGTTCATCACTGTCCTTTCTAGGCTGAGGTTGATGCCTGGGGAAGCGGCTGTGGAACTGGGCTTCCTGGTGTCAGCGTAGGTGATAGGGATCTAGGACAACAGGGACCAGGTGGCGACATACAGCTGTAAGAGACAAGGTGGGCATAATTGTTCTAACAGATAGCAACGCTGCAATGGCCACCAGAGGGCTCTGATCTGCAGGATCTGCGTGCTAATAGTTCATGGTATTCAAACAATTTCCTCAATAGATCGATGCTATAATCAGAGAATTTATTAGTGAAAAAGAGGAAAACCTCTATCAGGATTTATACTGTGCTAAACCTGAATCTTTTTCAAGTCTCCCTTTTCCTTTCTCCCTCCTTTCCACAAATATTTATTAACATAAATTTTGTGCAAGGTACTGTGTTTGGAAAATAACAAAAATATATTGTTACCATTTATGGATCTCTTACTATAAGCAGAATCCTTTATATTAACACTTCTTAGTTATTGTATTAACTATGCTAGTAAGCATTGTCATTGTCATTTTACCATTAGCATTTTACAGATGATGAAATAGAAGCTCAGAGAGGTCAAATAACTTGTCCAAGGTGACACAGCTAATAAGTAGCACATGCTAGGTTTCTTTGAATCAGAACAAAACGTTTTCCACTAGAGCACAGTGCCTTTTTGGAATCCTCCTTACAAGTCATTCCTGCTTGGAGAAGTCTTTGAGTTTATCGTCAGACTATCTCTTACCATTGATTAGCATTTCTGCCATCTTTCCTGGAGGTGGCTCCATGCAAGGTTGTGCTGTTTTATGGAGACTGGAACTTTTCTCTGGGTTTCCTGTATAACCTCTAGGAAGATAGTGTTTTGCTGTAGCTTAAATGAAAGCTTACCATGGAAGAGACTGAGGGAGAAAAAGCAGAGCCTCGAAGGGAAATTCAAAGAGACTGTTGTGGAACTGAGGGATGTATGTTCTAAACTTTTTTCCTAGGCATGTGAGGAGTGGTGCAGGGGAATTGACTCTGGTGCATAAACTAACTCTCAGCAACTCCTTACTCTTGGAAATGTGTTTATTTTTTATTCTTCCATAAGTTATTGGAGTGCAGGCGGTATTTGGTTATATGATTAAGTTCTTTAGTGGTGATTCATGAGATTTTGGTGCACCCATCACCTGAGCAGTATACACTGCACCGTATTTGTAGTCTTCTATCCCTTGCTCCCCTCCCACTCTTCCCCCAAAGCCCCCAAAGTCTATTGCATCATTCTTATGCTTTTGCATCCTCATAGCTTAGCTCCCACATTTCAGTGAGAACATACGATGTTTGGTTTTCCACTCGTGAGTTACTTCACTTAGAAAAATAGTCTCCAATCTCATCCAGGTCACTGCAAATACTGTTAATTCATTCCTTTTTATGGCTGTGTAATATTCCATTGTATATATATACCACAGTTTCTTTATCCACTTGTTGGTTGATGGGCATTTGGGTTGGTTCCACAATTTTGCAATTGTGAATTGGGCCACCATAAAAATGTGTTTGCAAATATCTTTTTTGAATAATGACTTCTTTTCCTCCGGGTAAATACCCAGTAGTGGGATTGCTGGATCCAATGGTAGTTCTACTTTTAGATCTTTAAATAATCTCCACACTGTTTTCCCTAGAGGCCGTACTAGTTTACATTCCCACCAGCAGTGTAGAAGTGTTCCCTGTTCACTGCATCCACACCAACATCTACTATTTTTTTGATTTTTTGATTATAGCCATTCTTGCAGGAGTGAGATTTGTATCACATTGTGGTTTTGATATGCATTTCCCTGATCATCAGTGATGCTGAGCATTTTTTCATGTTTGTTAACCATTTGTATATCTTCTTTTGAGAATTGTCTATTCATGTCCTTAGCCCGCTTTTTGATGGGATTGTTTGTTTTTTTCTTACTGATTTGTTTGAGTTTGCTGTAGATTCTGGATTGGTCCCTTGTCAGATGTATAGATTGTGAAGATTTTCCCCCACTCTGTGGGTTGTCTGTTGACTCTGCTGACTGTTCCTTTTGCTGTGGGAGAGCGCTTTAATTTAATTAGGTCCCAGCTATTTATCTTTGTTTTTATTACATTTGCTTTTTGGTTCTTGGTCATGAAATCCTTGCCTAAACCAACGTCTAGGTGGGATTTTCCAATGTTATCTTGTAGAATTTTTATAGTTTCAGGTCTTAGGTTTAAGTCCTTAATCCATCTTCAGTTGATTTTTGTGTGAGATAAGGATCCAGTTTCATTCTCCTACATTTG